TTTCCTTTCCTTTCCTTTCCTTTCCTTTCCTTTCCTTTCCTTTCCTTTCCTTTCCTCTGCAAATACGTTTGGAATGGGGCTGCGAGGCTTGCTTGAGGGCAGTGCCCAGAGAAGCACTAGCCGATCCCAAGCCAAACTCAAGGAGCTAAAATGGGTAGCAAAGTCTTTGACCCCAGTTAGGGCTGGCCGACACAGGCATTTAGGGGAGAGAGGCAATATTTTGTGGTTAATTTCCAAATTAAGTATTCTTAGGACACTTATTTCCAAATTAAACATCCTTAATTTGAAATCATTTGTGTTCCACAAATTTTCTTGGAGCTCAGAGCCAGGCAAACTCGGAGGCCCGTGGATAGGAGTGTGTGCCTGCCCCAAGTGTGTGTTGCATGCCTGTGGCGGATTGGAAACGCTCCTCGAGTTACATTCATTGTCCTTTATTCGTAAGGAAGACTTTTTAAAAATAAGAAAGGCAGGGAGGGTTCAGAGATAGAATCACTGGCTGGAGCAGCCCTTTGACTTCGTCTCTGACCGGGTTTAAAGAGTTGCTGTGTAACGCTTACCAGGGCCCATGGGAAAAATATTTCTTTAGATGCGATTGCAAATCATCTTTCAAAATAAACCCAATTTATTTCAGCTGAATTGACTCCCAGTGTCAAGGACTTTTAGGACTGCACACATGTGAGAGTAGGCAAGGATCCACAAATTGCCTGAAAGAATCCACTAGGATTTCACAGAAACTGTTTTGGGAGCCAACATCCTTATAAATCTGACCCTGAATGACATCCCTTGGAATGTTCTCTGCAATAATATTCAGAGGGATCTTTTGAAAGCTAAATGTATCAAGAACTCCTTTTAAAAAAATTTGTTGGATTTAGGAAAGGCGAAGACTAATTCTCTAGTTCTTCTTGCTTCAGTTCTCCAGTGGTGGAAAAGTTTCCATTCCAGAGTAAATCCAAGTGTTTAGTTTTTGCTCAGATGTGGGTAGGCTTGGAAAAGATCCTAATTTCAGTTTGAGGATGAAACCATCAGCTTGCAACCCTCAAGTCACTAGTTTCCCATCATAATCCACATTTTGGCTTTAAATTGGTAATTAAAGCCCAAGGAAACCTCCTGAATTCTATGCTAGAATTTATAGACACCTCGGGAAAGGCATCTTCTGCGGGAAGAGGAAGAGAGGATGGGGATGCCTTCTGCTGTTATTCCTACAATAACAACTGCCTTGCAAACCCAGATAAATTTGAATAGCTCAACTCTAAATTTCAGGTTGTATTGCAGGTTTCAGATTTACATTTTCCATGAGCACCAATGGGTATTCTTCATCACGACATAAACCTGCAATCTGCAAAACATGTGTTTGTATTATTGCAACTTCCCCCAAGCTGGTAACCTCCAGATAGCTATAAATTCAAACAACCTCAGCAGAAGGCACAACACAGCTGGAGGGCACCAGCTTGGGGAAAATTGTACAACTGGACACTAACTAGAGTCTCCAAAAGTTGCACTTGGCTCACATTTCTTAGTGCTTTCTGCTCACTTCCTTTCAGAAAATGTCCAAGTCTCACTGCATTTTTGCTTCCATTCATATAATAAACTAAATGGTGGAACTGGAATTAGAATGGGAGCACAAGTTTATTTCAAACAGACTGCAGTTTAAGGTACAAATAGCTTATTGGAAGCCCTTCCTCTTCTATCAGTACTTCCAGGTGTGATGCTTCTTGATTTCTTGCAAGCTAATAGCAACTGAAAAAGCTTGACTGTAAGCAGGTTTCTGCATGTGACCAATTGACAATCTCCTATTATTTTCTTTCAGTATATCTGGGGATGCTATTTGTGGAAATAAACATTCTCGGGTTTTAGGGACTGAGAGTTAAAAGCTGCATCTCCAACCAGACTAAAAGAATTAAGGTTACAAACAAGCCTGAGGATCATTTTGTAGCTGTAGTTTGGAAAAGGGCCAAAATAAAGAAATGAATAAATTCCAAATTAAATTCTGTGCAGTTCCAAGCAGCCATGCTAATCCATTGAAATCGATGGAATACACATCGAAACAACTAAATTTCTTATGGCAGCTGGGGCATTCAGTGGATTGGGGCCTCAAGAATGTAAATTCACTTGAAAAGATGTCACTGGGAAAAAAAATGGTGCTTTGATTTAAATATCTCCCATGTAAAATATGTACCCAATTTTGGAGCTAAATATGTGGAAAGCAGTTTATTTTTTGAAGGCTGGAGCCTTTTTGAACAGTGTCAAACCTGAATATTCTTGTAGGGCTGCAGTTAGTAAAAAATACCCCACAGTTTAGCATCTGCTCCTTAGCTGGCATAGGGTGGATTGTGGTGGAAATATATTTCTCTGGAACAGATTTTCTTGAATGGATATGAGACTACATCATTTGCCTCCTGTCCTCCCAGAAAAGAACTCACTTCATATTAAGACCTGAGGTAGCCCATTTATAGTCAAATTGGCTAAACCTTAGCATGTATGTATCAGAGATGTTACATTGGTTTTTCCTGCAGATATGATACAGACAATACATAGTTGCATGGGGAAATGATGAAATTGGGGGGTGGGCTATTTATTTTTATTTATTTATTTATTTATTTTTACAGAAAGTTTACTTAGACCCCTGCTCCACACAGTCGCTGCATTTTGTATCAGTACAGTCACAGGCTATTTGGCTATCAGTTTACGATTAAGACAACTCAGTGAGGCAACTTTTTATTTGGGGTTTAAATAAAGATGTTTTAAGTGTGTATGCGTGCACCCGTGATGCACGCCTAGAGTCAAAGTTGTTAAACTGTGGACTGCACTGCAGTGTTTTGTTCTGATTTGTGAATCAGGCCGTCTGGAAGAGATTAAGCTAAATGGGTATCCCATAAGATCAGTAGGGAGACTAGATCACTTTGATCGCAGTTCCATTTCTCTCCCCCAAGACACTTTAAGAACCAGCCGGCTTGCGATGTAACCCCACCATGCGTTTACAAAGAAGTAAACGCCATTGAAATCAACAGCGCTTCCTTTCGGCATGTGGTAATATATCTGAGGATTGCAGCCTTAATCACTTTGTGAACGGCTGGCACCTGCAAATAAACTGGCTTGTGAAAAATAAAACTCTAGAATCTGATTTTCAGGTTTTCTGCTAAAGGTTCTGCAGCCAGGTTTGACGGCTGGTTCCGCAGGACACCCCCCAAATGGTGCAGATGGGAGGCGGTGATCCAGAAATGAGAGGCAGGATAATGTCTTTGTCTCTCCTCTTCGCTCTCTTTCTCAAACAGAACGAGATCTTGAAAAGCACAGTTAGCAGCAACGACAAGAAAACCAAGGGAAGGACTGGTTGGCCCCAGCATGTTTGGGCTCTGGAGCTCAAGCAGTGAAGGCGAGCGCCAAGAGTGGAGAACTCATCCCTTCCAGGACTCTGGACCTTCCAAGCGAGGTTGCTGAGCTGAGGACTTTTCCTTCTTGCCCTTGTTTTGGAATCGTATGGTTTATTTATGTGCAATTTCCCTCCCCTAGTCTTCCTCCTTTAAAAATAATGTGGATCTTGGGAGAAAAGCATTCCATATTTCAGTATATGAAGAGGAAAACTCCGGCGTGGTAAGGAGAAACATGATCTCCAAAGAGTGTTCCCCCCTCCCCCGTTATGAATGTTACATTGCTTTGTTTGTATAGAACCCAGGGGACAAAAAAAAAAAAATCAAAATCAAAAATGAAGGCATTAGTGTGTAATATGAAGTGTATACGTTTAATACCTGCCCTGTTTTGAATTATTGTGGATGATAATTTTAAGCCAAAACAGTTGCTTCCCCTGCCCCCCAGGTTTCCTATCTTATTTGAGATAGGACTTCAGGGTTGTGAGGGTTCTCTGCCCCCCTCCCCCCAGTCTTGATTGTTCAATAGTTGGAAGAGAGTTTCTAACAGTTCTTTGTTAATCTGCACTTCGGTCCTAAAGGAAGCAAAACAAAAATTAAAATTAAGCAAACTACAATCCGTGAAGTTGAATAATTAATATTGAAAGGTGCAAATGGTGTAAGTATTCATTCAATCGCTGCGTGTATTTTTTTTAACTAAACACAAAACTTCCATTTTATACCTGAAAGGTTTTAAACCAAACCTTGAAAGCCTTTTTTAAAACTCCCTAGAAATTAACCAATGACGTTGGTTAAAGTGAACCTAAAAATACAATTAAATTATGAAGATGATATATAAAAAGTGATCCTGGGGATGATTAGCTGGGAAAATGACATTGAACCCTCCGAGATTCACTGCCGAGTAAAGGTGGATAAAAACAACTTGCAGTTTTGTTTAGCTGTTGTTTTTAAGCAAGGCTTTTATTTGGGAAACGAAGGGAAGTTACTTTGGCCATTTAGAAACTGAAGGGCCACAAGAAATTACAAGGGTGGGACATGTTTATTTGTTATGATTCTGAGTTTTTGGCTAGGACTTAGAGCATGTTTCCTCAAAGTGACATTCCTCTGTGATAAAAAGAGAAAGGACCTCTTAGTTTTTCATTTTTATAAGAACCCAGTTTTCCTTTGCTTTCTTTGGAAGAAGAGAAGGAGAGAGGCTGTGTACTTTTGTACTATGATTTTCACTGATGGACTAATAATTTACCGTGGCTTTTTAAAGGTGTTTGTGAAAGAGGGAGGAAACCAAAGACGGAAGCTAATCTGGGCCTATCTTTCACACTTATCAGAGTGAGGGTCCCCCCCCCCCCCCCCCCCGCCGCGCCTGCTGCTCGCCCCCCCTCCGCCGGCGGGGGGGGGGGGGGGGGGGA